AGTGAAAAGGGAAAAGAAATCATTCCAGAGGAAGCTACGAATGGCGAAACAGCAGCAGCTGTACCACAGGAGCAGACGGAAGTGTCGGAAGTCGAGAATCAAGAGCTTGCTTATGATCCGAATGCATACCCTGGTAAGTGAATTTTCAGACAAGCGCACCTATAAGGGAGCATAAACAAAAAAACAAAAAACAAAAAAGACATAAATATGAACTTTTTTTAATCTAAGCAGAACAAGGTTTCATCAATTATATATGTACATGGAAATCTTGTAAAGCTTTACTTTCTTTTCGTTGTCTGTTTAAGAAATTAATAACTTTCTAGTTTTGCCATTGATTGGTGCTTAGCGATTTACGAATCTGTCTTGCAGTAGCTAATTGCTTGTTTGAAACTTTTGATATCTGAACTCTTGTGGCAATTTTTAGAAAATATCTGAATTTTTTACATACTTTTTATCTACATAATTTGCGAGATGTAATCTTTTGCTTATGGATGATTTTGTTAAGTTGTTATGAAATAATTTTCTGTCTCTGACTCGGCAGTTAATGTCCTTATTGGGCTTCAATTTTTGATTGTTACTGAAAATAATGGCGCGAAGAAATTTATCGTATATCTTCACCTAAACCTATATCTTGATCACTTTTTTATGAGACTTTCAGCTTTGACATAAGTTTTATTTTTTGATCTTTTTTCCTTCGCTAAATATGAATATCATGCTCTGAATAGAGCTGACAAGGCCCATAATCAATCTAATTGACTCAGTCCTATAACACAAACACAATGCAACCTTATCCTTGCGAATTCTTCAGGTTACATCTGGAATTACGAAACGCAGCAATGGGATGTGGATCCAAACTACGATCCTAGCCAAAACCCCTCAGTATATAATGCTGGTTACGATCAAGGGAATTATCAGTACGATTATAGGTCAGCAAAATACTTGACATTGAACTTTTTCTCATTAATTCTCCTTTTTAGTGGCGTAGCCGCAGCTGATGGTTATACTTACCCTAGTACTTATGGGCAAACGTATTCGTATGATCAAAATGATGGCTATACGGCCGCGGGTTACCAGCAAACTGCTGAGGGAACTTACGATCAAAATGCTCAGCAATACTATGGGCAAACTGCTGGATACGATCAACAGGCTGGATACGACCAGCAAGCCAACTATCAGTATGATCAAACCGGGCAGTATGCTGGTTATGATCAAACTGCGGGTGGTTACGACCAAACCGCAAGTGGTTACGGTCAAACCACCGCTGGTTACGATCAGGCTACCGCCGGTTACGATCAGAATGCAAGTGCTTATGGTCAAGCTGGCTATGACCAAAGAGCTGGAGCTTATGGCCAAACTACGGCTGGTTACGATCAAACCACAGCTGGCTATGATCAAAATGCCAGCGCCTACGCTCAACAACCCTATTATGACACCGCGGCAACGATGCAGGTGGACACGAACTACCAGAATGGCTCTTACTATCAGACACATGCTGGTTACGATCAAACAGTCACGGAATATACTGAACCACCCATTGGCCTTCAAGATTACACTCCTAGCCCACAGCCAAGCGAGTATAGCACGACGCCAGTAGCACCAGGAGATGAGCAGCAGAATGCACCGACAAGCTATGATTATTCACAGTATGCCCAGAGCTATGGTACTGACTATTCAGGCTATCAACAGACACAACCACAAGCTCAATCATATGGTGAGTTTCATGTTTAATGATATATTATATCATGATGTTAATTTTTGTTTGACCAGTATTAAAAACTTCGAGCTCAAAAATTCGATTACTCACTTTTTAAGCAATATTTTAAGTTTTGCTCAAAAATTGATGAATCGAATTACTAAATTTTTCCCTGATGCGTCTGTAAAGATACACGAATTTCTTTTTGCAGTCGTTTCTAATCGCCCATTCCTAGGGATTGCTTTTGTCGTAATGCTAATTCTACTGCATTGTTGACTCCTTTTGAATTTTTGAATTACACACCAAGATTTCAGACTCTAAAGATTATTTCAATTTTTTAAACTAGATAAGCAAGCTAAATCTTCAGTGTTAAGAAGTCGTAGATACGGAGATGTTTACACGCAATAGAAAAACCAAAAAACAAATGTGTTGACGTTAGAGAAGCTGCACTCTTACATTCTTACCTTGGAATTGTTTTTTAGTCCATAGAATCCTGCGAATTTTCATTTACTTCGAAAAGCTCTCGTAGTTTAGCCTTTTTGGTACCATAAACGCTTAGGACATACCCTTAAGAGCCATGATAAAAGACTGCTGTTCTTCAAACTTTGTTACTACTTCATGTTATGCTCCCTTTCGGATTTTTGGGATAGGAATGTGTGTTTCATAGACAGTCCATATGAAGCATGAAAAATGCTTGACTCGGCTTCAAATGAAGCACACCCCATTAATATGAACATGAGTGTTCAATGCTTTTTTTTGCTCTATAACAATTAAATACGCTTTTAGATTATCAAAACAACTATACTGACTCAAATGTTACTGCTGCACCTTCTGCGCAGCACCCGTATCCACAACTCCCTCCCGAACGCCCACCACCTGCTCCAGTTTTCACTGAGCCACTGTT